CCCTTCTTTTTTTCTCCTCAGTTTATCTCTAATCCTTTTACCACTGTCTTTCCGCTTTATTTCGCGTTCTTTATTTTCTGATTCTCTCGTTCTTCTCTTAATTCGTATATGACCTATCTCCTTTCTGCTCATCTCCTTCCTTTTGCAGGGTTTACGTCCATTTTGTCTTTCCTGCTTTTCTGTGTCTTTAGCTTGTCTTTTCATCTTTTTTCCTCTCTCCTCTCTCTCTTCCCTTTGCTTGTGTCCAGTTTCCATGGTCTCTCTTTTGTCCGGTTCTTTACAAATCTCTTTATATCTCTCACTTTCTTATAATCCTCTCATCCGTCATTCTCTCTTTCTCTCTTCTTATTTACACTTCCATCCTTTAAAGCCTCCGTTGTTCTCAGTCATGTTATCTTTCCTTCGCTTTCTCCCTTCTCCCTCCCTTTAACCAATTCTTCTCATCCACTTCATCATCATTTTTATTCTTGTTGTTTTCTTTGTCTTTGTTTATTTTTAAAATCATTTTCCACTTCAAATATTTAATTTCAATCTTATTCCCTTTACTCCTCCAGTTACGATTCGCATAATCCTTATTATTGTTCCTCCTCTTCCCTTTTCTTTTCCGTCTTACCTCTTCGTATTCCTTCTTGATTTTTTCTTCTTCTTCTTCTTCTTCTTCTTCTTCTTCTTCTTCTTCTTCTTCTTCTTCTTCTTCTTCTTCTTCTTCTTCTTCCTCCTCTTCTTCTTCCTCCTCCTCTTCTTCTTCTTCCGCTTCTCCTCTACCTCCTCCTCCCCCAACTCCCATTTTTTACTAATCAGCAATCCTCTTTTCCATACTCTTCCCCTTTTCCCTTAACCTCCTCCTCACTCTTCCTTCTCTCCTCTTCCTCCTCCTCCTCTTCTTCTTCTTCTTCCGCTTCTCCTCTACCTCCTCCTCCCCCAACTTCCTTTTTTGCTAATCAGCAACCCTCTTTTCCTAATTCTTCCCCTTTTCCCTTAACCTCCTCCTCACTCTTCCTTCTCTCCTCTTCCTCTTCCTCCTCCTCCTCCTCTTCCTCTTCTTCTTCTTCTTCCGCTTCTCCTCCTCCTCCTCCTCTCCCAACCTCCTTTTTTGCTAATCTGCAACCCTCTTTTCCCTACTCTTCCCCTTTCCCCTTAACCTCCACCTCACTCTTCCTTCTCTCCTCCTCCTCCTCCTCTTCCTCTTCTACTTCCGCTTCTCCTCCTCTTCCTCCCCCAACCTCCTTTTTTACTAATCAGCAACCTTCTTTTCCTTATTCTTCCCCTTTTCCCTTAACCTCCTCCTCACTCTTCCTTCTCTCCTCCTCCTCCTCCTCCTCCTCGACAGAGCTAACTCTTCTAACCAATCTAATTCCCAGATAAGTGGATAAAATGTCCTCCGCTCCGCCAGGGTCGCGCAAGGGCAAGAAGTGCTCGTTTCTCCGGCTTTCTTCCTCTCGTTTTTTTTCCTCGTTTAATTCCTCGTTTCATCTCCTGGCCATCAGCGTCACTGACTCCATGCTTCTAATCCTCCTTCAGCTAAGTCTCCATTACTAGGATTTCCTTATCTTACCTAACCTTGTCTCCTTTCCTACGCTTCCCTTCTTGGCGTGGTTCCCTTCTTACACTTTCCTCTTTCCCTTGTCTCCCTTTCTATGGCTCCCTTCTTGCCTTACCCTGTCTCCCTATCTATGTCCGACTCCCTCGCCTTGCCTTCTTGCACTTCTCCCCTTGTGTTACCATGCCTATCTTCCTCAATCTTCCTAATTTTGTCTCCCTCCCTACCTCACTTTGTCCCGCTTGCTCCTCCATTCACCCCACTTATTTTTACCTTACCTTGTGTCCCTTCCTACACCTTCCCTTATCTTTCCCTACCCTTTGTCCCTTCCTACACCTTCCCTTATCTTTCCTTACCTTGTGTCCCTTCCTACACCTTCCCCTTATCTTTCCTTACCTTGTGTCCCTTCCTACACCTTCCCCTTATCCTACCTTAGCTTGTGTCCCTTCCTACATCTTCCCCTTATCTTTCCCTACCTTGTGTCCCTTCCTACACCTTCCCCTTATCTTTCCTTACCTTGTGTCCCTTCCTACACCTTCCCCTTATCTTTCCTTACCTTGTGTCCCTTCCTACACCTTCCCCTTATCTTACATTACTTTATCGCCCTTCCTAATCCCCCCCTTACCTTCCTTCACCTTACCTTGCCCCCTTTCCTCTCCCTATCCCCCCGCGCCGTCTTGTCTTTTAAGCATGATATATGGAGGGGGATAATCCCTATGTTCATCCTGGAAATTTCTTCAATAAGCTCCCATTTTTCATCTCTCATTCTCTTCCTTATTCAAATTTGCTCTTATTTTTTTCCTTCTCATTCCTTTCCTATCTCTATATAATTATATTCATAATGATGATACTTATGACTGTTATAATTATAATCATAACAATAATCACAATCATATTTACAATAATCATTATCACTACTGCTATTATCAATAATAGTATTATCTTCACTATTACTGTTATTATTGTCGTTTTTATCATTCACTATTACTGGTCGTTTTATTATCATTATCATTATTGTTATCATGGTCATTATTATCATCGTCATCACCATTATCATGATCATTAACATTACCACTGTTGCTATCATCATCATTATCATATTTGTTATTGTTATCATTACTATCATTATTATTGTTATAACCACTGCTGTTTTGTTGTTAACAACGTTATTATCATTGTTGTTACTATTACTACTTCTAGTAAGAAAACAATATTCATGATGATAACAATGATGATAATGACAACAACAACAATAATAATGCAGTACCAGCATACGTAGAAGTAGTAGTGATGATATCTATAATGATAACAACACAATGATAACAGTAACCGTAAAAGAAGTAGTAGTAGTAGCAAAAGCAATTGCAGTAGAAGTGGTAATAGTAATAATAGTAGTAGTAATAGAGAGAGAGAGAGAGAGAGAGAGAGAGAGAGAGAGAGAGAGAGAGAGAGGAGAGAGAGAGGAGAGAGAGAGAGAGAGAGAGAGCAGCAAGCAACAGTAGGAGAGACATAATGGACATACCACCACTCCTCAAGGTTACTCGCATCAAAATTCTGGTCAAACCGAGATGAAAAATATCAAAACCCTATGACACTGACATCAGTCCTGACAGTCCACACCGTCCGCCAAAACGCAGCACGTGACACTGACTTCAACCAACAGCAAGGAATGCTATAAAGAGAGCGCGCCAGGGAAGACGAGAACACCTAAAAGCGATTATTTCACATATAAAAGCCAAAATGCCTCAAGATATTTGTCACGACCAAATCTGGTGTCACTGGCAGACGTAAGAACGACCAATCAAACGGCTTCTTAGGAGGCTTTGGGGTTCTGGACTCGCAGCCAAAGAAGCTTCTCCAACATCCGATTCGTTCAACCTGTGGCTCCACGGTATAAGGGGGTGGGGGGGGGGCGATGTAAACATTTGTAGCACAGTTTATATGAAAAAACGATCAGAAAAATAGGGCGTACTAAGATGATAATAATAATAATATATTTTAAAAAATACATATAATAATAATAATAATAATAATAATAATAATAATAATAATAACAATATGATAATAATAATAAAATAAATAAATAAAAAAATCACATTACTTTCACGCCACAAGATTTTCTTTCTTTCTTGTCTTTTTTTAAAGTTTTATAAGAAAAGATTCTTGGGACAAATCCTTCTACGTAAGCCGAGTCCGAGGAAGTCGCCTAAGACTGCCTCTCTCTGTGAAAGGGACCGTAAAGCCACAGTAAGACATATAAGAAAGGCAGTGTGATGCAACTATGCAGTAGAGGTAGAAGAAGTAGATGTAGTTAGAAGCAGAAGTTCAACAGTAGAAAACGATAGTAATAGTTGTAGTGGTACTAGTAATAATAGTAAACACTGTAGTAATAGTAGTAATGAAAAAACTAATGATAGTCCATAAAAGGATTAGAAAATGCTCCACAAAATCGTCCTAATCACTCGACGACGCGGTGCGTGCAACTCCATGTGCGTGTTGCGTGTGCGTGTGCGTGTGCGTGGCGTGTTGCGTGTGCGTGATTTGTGCGTACGACATTGGCGTAACCGTGTGAGAAATTTTTTTCCAGAACTACATGTTTACACTCGAGAGAAAATCTATATTCACTTCCCTCCGAATCTTAGATATATTTTCTAGAATATTCTGTATCCAAGGAAGAAAATTTTCCGGAACATTTCCAACCAGATCTATGGAAGAAAATTTTCTATGAATATTTCTTTCCAGATCTAACAAAGATAATTTTCTGGAATATTCCCTTCCAGATTCAAGGAAGAATATTTTCTGGGAAAATCTCCTTCTAGATCTAACGGAGAATTTTGTCTTTACAAAAGAAAATAGTTATCACACCTATACCATCAATTTCACCTAAACGCTTTCAACTTCATAACTGATAGAGTACAATCTCTATCATTTCGATACTTTTACCTATATGAAAATATATTCCTTTGCACCCAAATATTTTCATATAAACCTAAAGTATCTTATAAAAAAAGAATCCCCTCACACGTCAATATTATCCCCTTCATTTGCAAGATTATACCCTATGCTATCACTAATAATACCCAAAAGAGAATATTTCCCTTCACAACTAAACATTTTCCCCTACATCTTTAAGAGAGAATATCTTCCTTCAGAAAGTGTACTCCCACTCATACCTGAACATCTTCGCCGAGACAACTCCAGACAACATTAAACATTACCCATAGAACTATACATTTCCTTTAACACGACATTTCCACGAACCCGCGACCGTATTTTATTTATTTATTTATTTTTTTCTTTAACAGAGGCTTTTTTCCCCCGCATTTCCCCCCTACAACTCCGAGAGAAATTCGAAGAGAATCATCATCTCCTCCAGCTTCCTCCAGCGAGAACCTCCCCTCGCACGCAAACGTTCTCAACCGCGCCCGCGAAAGAAAGAAAATTTCCCTCCCGCCACGGAATGAAGCTCGACTCAACCCTCTCCTCACCGCCCGGAGACGCTCGAAAGCCTCGCCTCGACTCGAACCCTCGCCTCACCCCCGGAGAAGCTCGACTCGAACCCTCGCCCACCGCCCGGAGAAGCTCGACTCGAACCCTCGCCTCACCGCCCGGAGAAGCACTCGAACCCTCGCCTCACCGCCCGGAGAAGCTCGACTCGAACCCTCGCCTCACAGAACTCGAACCCTCGCCTCACCGCCCGAGAAGCTCGACTCGAACCCTCGCCTCACCGCCCGGAGAAAACCCTCGACTCGAACCCCCTCGCTCACCGCCCGGAGAAGCTCGACTCGAACCCTCGCCTCACCGCCCGGAGAAGCTCGACTCGACCCTCGACCGCCGGACTCGACTCGAAACCCTCGCCTCACCGCCCGGAGAAGCTCGACTCGAACCCTCGCCTCACGCCCGGAGAAGCTCGACTCGAACCCTCGCCTCACCGCCCGGAGAAGCTCGACTCGAACCCTCGCCTCACCGCCCGGAGAAGCTCGACTCGAACCCTCGCCTCACCGCCGGAGAAGCTCGACTCGAACCCTCGCCTCACCGCCCGGAGAAGCTCGACTCGAACCCTCGCCTCACCGCCCGGAGAAGCTCGACTCGAACCCTCGCCTCACCGCCCGGAGAAGCTCGACTCGAACCCTCGCCTCACCGCCCGGAGAAGCTCGACTCGAACCCTCGAGAAACCGAACCCTCGCCTCACCGCCGGAGAAAGCTCGACTCGAACCCGCCTCAACCGCCCGGAGAAGCTCGACTCGAACCCTCGCCTCACCGCCGGAGAAGCTCGACTTCGCCTCACGCCCGCTCGACTCTCGCCTCACCGCCCGAGAAGCTCGACTCGAACCCTCGCCTCACCGCCCGGAGAAGCTCGACTCGAACCCTCGCCTCAGTCTGTCTTTCACCGCCCGGAGAAGCTCGACTCGAACCCTCGCCTCACCGTCTCGACCGCCTCACCGCCCGGAGAAAGCTCGACTCGAACCCTCGCCTCACCGCCCGGAGAAGCTCGACTCGAACCCTCGCCTCGAGAAGCTCGACTCGAACCCTCTCCTCAGTCTGTCTTTCACCGCCCGGAGAAGCTCAGACTCACGCGGAGACATATCGCCTCGACCCCTAATGCTGTTGGCCGGGAAAGGGAGAGAAAGCGCAACCGGACTCAACTTGGATGGACGGTTTAGTTACATGTGTGGAAGGGGTGGAGGAGGGGATGTGTGTGTGTGTGTGTGTGTGTGTGTGTGTGTGTGTTGTGTGTGTGTGTGTGTGTGTGTGTGGTGTGTGTGTGTGTGTGTGTGTGTGTGTGTGTGTGTGTGTGCGTGTGCGTGTGTGCGTGTGCGTGTGCGTGTGCGTGTGCGTGTGCGTGTGCGTGTGTAGGTGCGCGCATGCCTGTCAGTGTGCAAACCCAGATATAAAGCTATTTACTACACATCCGCAAGTCGAAAGGCCTTCTCAAATGCAAACCCATTACCGAACAAGTGAACAAGCTTCAGCCACCACGAGTGTGTTTACCGATCTACGCGACGCAAGGAAGAACCTCTTTGCCACGACCGAATAAGGACGAAAATCAATACCTGAACATGTCCATAATCGGGCTGGAATCGCGTCACATTTCCCTCTTCCTCTGGCACCTACCTGTGGGGGAGAGGCAGAAAAAAATAGAAATAAGTTTTTCTTTAATGTATTTATACGATCGAAAAAAAACAGTGTACAAAGATGTTGAGAAACTTGAAGATATAGAAAATGACTCGAAACGTCGGATTTTTTTGTATTCAGTTCTTACTAAGGCTTTGTTCCATCATCTTATTGAAATATCATCAAAGTACAAGAGAAAGATTAGCTGACTTTATTAATCGAGGTTTAATGATACTCTTTGAAGAGTACTGAACTCTGTGATCACTTATAAAAAAGGAGTCTTTAGATGATTATGAAAAAAAGGGGCTGAAAAATATTATCCATTCTAATAAATACAAAGTTAATTAATTCTACTTATCTCTACACCCTAATTTACTTTTCCTTTATCTTCCTTTTCCCTTTATTCCTTTCACCCAAATTCCATTCCACCGATTCGTGTTTCGCGTGTGCCACTTACCGTCAATGGAACTCCAATCCTGGGAAATATTAAACCGAAATCGGCCCAATATACAATGGAATTATCACCCCTATGGGCTCCATGTATCAACGTCAAGACCAGAAGGGCGTAACCTCTAACTGTGTCTAAACGAGACTGCACTTTTAAATCTTCACTTGCAACATCAATATGTAACACTTTGCTTTCCACTGCGGCGCCATCCTGTCTTTTAACTTTGAGTACGTAGATGGTAATTGGGTGTTTCTCTTTTATGTAAACGACCGTGTATAATCGGGGACATACACTGCGCTTACATGCAAACTAACGTAAATACAGACACACACTCATGCCCCCGCGCACGTTTACACACACACACACACACACACACACACACACACACACACACACACACACACACACACACACACACACACACACACACACACACACACACACACACACACAAGCAATACAATTTAGTACAATACCGTAAATCGTAATTTGTTATCGACAGCAGGGACGATATATTTGTGATATCGAATTTCATGCCGGATTCGTTCCAGCTGACACGGAGTGAGGGTAATCTTTTAAATTGTTTCTACTGCTTTCAGTCACATAATTCACGTGATGTACCACAGCGTTACTCATGGCCGGGACAGGTTGAAGGAAAAACACAGCGCGGGTAACAAATCTTCAATTAAAAAATACACACAAAAAGCAAATAAAGATGTAGATGAATAATAGGCAAAACTATCGAATTAAATTACATTTCATGGGACAAATCCATTCAGATCTTTTCTACTGCTTTGGGTGTCTATAAAACTTATTTTGACGCGATCCAAAATGAACAATAATTTAAAGAAAACAGAAAGAAGAGATGGTAATAGTATAATCATTAAGAAAATCTGAAAAGTAGTAAGAATAATGATGCCATTTACGAATACCAGGAATTTCACTCCATTTTTCTTCTTATTTTTCCCAATATTTATTCCTATTCTCAATCAAACACAAATCATTGTATGAATTTAGATATGCCACTTTCATAAAAAAAAAAAAAAAAAAAAAAAAAAAAAAAAAAAAATTAATCCATAGTTAAAACAAATAACTTCATGAACCCTCATCTATACGTCCAAAGAAACAGACAATGAAACCCATCACCTGCCCCCCCCCCTCCTCATTATCTCGCTGAACCCTCGCTCAGGTTCAATACGCAAGCCTACACACTCCTTCCCAGTTAATAGCCAGAAAGAGTGTTCCTTAAGACGCTGCGAAGAAGCCGATACACAGAACGCAGTCAGCCGCACGTGCCTCCATTCAGCCGAGAACGGGGTGTGGTTCTCGCAATACACTCCTGCCTGTGTCCTGATTATACTCTCGCCGGGAATGAAGTAAACTTTCTTTGCTTCCTACTTGAGCATTCATTACTTTCGGTGTACTGGTGGTCTATTCAGCGCAGGAGTAATTTACAGCTGGTGGTGTAGGTCATAGCTCTTTGTAAACTAACTAAAATTTGAGATATTTGTTGTACAGAACAAAATATAGACAATTGAACTATTATCGAACCTTTCACCGATGGTTATGAAATGAGAATATTCAGACAACTGCAAATCTTCTAAAACAAACTTGTGTGTTTGTGTTTGTGTGTGTGAATATCTATCTATACACACAAACAAACAAACAAACAAACACACACACACACAGTTACATCTATATATATATATACATACATATATATATATATAATATATACACACACACACATACATATATATATATAGAAATATATTATATTACACACACATCATATATATATATATATATATATATATATATATATATATATATATATATATATATATATATGTATACATACACACACACACACACACACACACACACACACACACACACACACACACACCACACACACACATATATATATATATATATATATATATATATATATATATATAGTACACATACAGGTATGTATACACTATTGTAAAGGTCAAGTTAGCGTGAAAAGTATTCAAGAAGACTTTCCACATCCATTACCATTCCTCCGTGAGAATTGCCCCACTCTCTGCTGTGTGAAATTGTCTGGTCGAATAAAAGTAATCTACAAAACAGCAAAATTTCTAACCTAAAAATGGTTTGCAATTTCAAGAACCAATTCTTCTCCCGGCCATGACTCGGAATAATCAAGGTACAATACGAACTAAATCATATATAATGGTCTTATTTACTCCAGATATTTGGTTAAGCTGAGCATGCCAGCACGAAGGACACGCAGGATGCTAAACACAGCTGTGGACAATGTTGTTTTTCGAGGGGATTTTTGACACGAACTTAATTAGATAATAACTAAAATTAAAGCCATAAATCACTAAATGCTAATATTACATTCACATAATGGCTGGGAAACACTGAAATACAATTTCTGAATTTTATAATAGGCAAGACAATTTGCATTGAACAGAACCAGATACCTTGCTATACTGTACCGGTTAAATCAACCAAGTAAACAAAATGTTGCAGTGACCGTGCAACATGAAATTAAGTGTCTGCAAGCGCATTATAGTGTAATCTGAGACTTATGATATTTTAAGCAGCACGGGTTTTCATGTAAATACTTGCATCAAGTGAAATACAAGCATGAACGCAATTAATCTTGTAAAAGAGTTCTGTGACATGGTTATCATGGACTGTAATTCCATCATGGCGAAAATACATACAAGCAAAATTATTATTATTCAAATACAGCTTCTCTTAGGATGCAGACTGGAAAATACAGCAAATCTATCTCTCCTTCATTCCTTTCTTCTTCGTCTTCTCGATAACATATAGTATTAATTTACAATAAAGCTCTAAATCAAGTAAAACTTTCTACTTGCCATTAATCATAGTGTTATTTTGTGCTAATTATCATGATCTATTCACCTATTTTTTCGCTTACTTGTCTACCTATAATCTTATCTATTAATGTTTATATATCGATCTACCATTTGTTTATTACTTAATGCGTGTGCCGTGTGTGTGTGTGTGTGTGTGTGTGTGTGTGTGTGAGCTTCATTATGAGTCCAACATCCGGAGAACAGTGGGAGTTGGAGATGAATAAGCTTTACATCCTTGATTAAGTTTGCGACGTATAAGCATTCGGTAGAGAGAGAGAGAGAGAGAGAGAGAGAGAGAGAGAGAGAGAGAGAGAGAGAGAGAGGAGAGAGAGGGAGGGAGGGAGGGAGGGAGGAGAGAGAGAGAGAGAGAGAGAGAGAGAGAGAGAGAGAAGAGAGAGAGAGAGAGAGAGAGAGAGAGAGAGAGAGAGAGAGAGAGAGAGAAGAGAGAGAGAGAGAGAGAGAGAGAGAGAGAGAGAGAGAGAGAGAGAGAGAGAGAGAGAAAGGTCGTGTGTGAGAGGTTACGGGCAATATACATACATAGCCAGTCATATCCAACTTTGATACAGATATGAAAAAAATATATGTAAATAAATATACAATAAGAAATAGACATATATAATTAAATCGCTGATTATGTGCCCAAAGTCCCTGATCAATCATGATTAGAATTCTAACCAAGAACCATAAAACTATATTTCTTTTAGTATAACATCATGTCTTCCTATATTCAACTATATTCTCATCATAATTTTCTTTTTCTTTTCTTGATCACCTCATTCTCCTCTCTTTTCTCTTATCATCACTATTCACCATCACCATTACCATCACTATCTTTACCATTACCAACACCATCATCACCACCTTTACTATCACCATCACCATCTTTACCATCATCACCATTACCATCATCACCATTTTTACTATCACCATTACCATCATCATCATCACCACCTTTACCATCACCATCATCACATTACCATCACCATCTTTACCATCATCACCATTTTTACTATCATTTCATCATCATCATCACCACCTTTACCATTACCATCACCTTATTCGTTGCCTCCATCATCAGCGTCTCCTCCGACGTTAGGCATTAAGCGAAAATGGTTTAATTCAAAGAACCATTTCACATTTCACATAAATGATTCATTA